GAATGAACTGTAAATAACTTCCACCACATCTTATTCGCGTAGTAGGCCGCGATTGGCATAGCGTCTCCTTGCCCATTTAAGAGGACAATGTTCTTGCCATTTTTAAGAGAACCGCCAAGAACACCTCAAAACAATAAAAGACTTCTTCTTGAAATTGTGCAGGCACCCACGACTGACGCTCACTATGAAATTTACTGGGAGTAGTCACATACACTTCCTCGACATTCAGCGTCACTTTAACCCAGCACATGCCCGTTGAATTTACGCGCCCCCTTTCTTGAGAAAACGCCCACTTTTCTGCGCCTCCGTTCACATGAAACAAGTTAATCGCGCTGTTACTGTTGCCACCATGAAGAACGTGTCCTCCACGAGGCCGTGTCTTCACCACGTGGCCGTGTCCTCGCCAGATTTCTCAAAGGATTTGCCTTTAAAATCAACCGAATAAAAGCTTTTTCAGGTCACCTTGCGGAGACCGTATATTGTTCAAGCGCAGCAATAGCAGTGATGTGGTTCTGAAAAAAGTCACACCGTTACCGCAAAGGTGAAGTAATGAACGCGATAGCGAGAAATGGGAAGGTCACGTGCAGAATGGCAACAGATCGAAACGTGCCCCGCGTTCCTCACATACAAATAACGCACGAAACGTACTCACAGGTACATACGAACGCGAATAAGCGTCTAAGTTGTTACGTAGCTGTGTCTGAAAAGCGCGCTTTTTCGCAAACGGAGACTGTGCGATGAGAGCAGCGATATTTGTGCGCCCGGTACCTACAACAGAATTGTTCCGGTAAAAGCCTAAAGACAGCCAAGGCATAAGATGCTCCCAACCGCGAGATAAGGGTGCGCGAAAGTGCGTTCAGGGACTTTACGACCACCCACTCCTCTCCGCGCGGCAAAGTACGCGTGGGAGGTGAGGGCGCTTGCCACCACGCGCCACTGCGCGCTCATTGCGCCACCTTGCGGATAATGCTGAAATTATTATAGTTCTCCTTGGAGATGCCAATCACCGGCGGTAAATAGTCAATATAAATAGCTTCCTATTTGCACGATCATGGACGTGCTCCGTAGTGGCTCAGTTGTTAACGCCTCGCCCTCACCACGCAGAGGTTCCAAGTTCAATTTCACATGGTGGAGACTTTTTCTAAATTTTTTTTGCGTTTTCATAAAGATATATACTTATACATATACGGTGAGTGACGCCGACGTCGACACCGACGCTGGCGACAAAATCCAGCTAAGAGTATCCGTGTAACTGCTATCGCAATAAAACAAGGCGAGGACAAAAACTGATGTTATTCCATACATGCATCAAATATCACTTCAGATTATTAAGCCACAGTTGTAAGTGTGGTGTTTTCTGCCCCCAACAGAGTTGGAGGCCTGTGCAAGTTTGCAAACCTGAAAAACCAAAATCTTCCCATATGCAGTGAAGAACATACCACGCGGTTTGTTTCCAGGCCTACAATCGTGGTGTTGTGTGCAAGATATCACTCTTATGTGAACGTGCATACACTGGCCAAACTGGCCAATGTGTTAATAATTGCTTTCGAGAACACGACAACAGTATGAAGCGATTGTTGGAAAGAAACATGCCCTGATATTGTTAAACTTCCAGTTGTTCTGCCTTTCTTGACCAGACTATCATGATTAGTAAATACTGAGACAAAATTTCTCGCAAAATTCATGAGGCATTATGTATAGAACACCTTGGACACTGTTTTGTTAAGATGCCTTCTGCATCGCACTCGCAGAAAGAACTGGCATTTTCGCAAAACCAGTGACCTCCTTTAGTTCTGCTTTTACTTTTCATGAGCTGGAGGAGTAGTAATGGAAGGCAGTAAGGTCAAGCAGACGAGCGTGTGTATTGCTATACTACGCAGTGGAGGAAAATTAAGGGATAAAAACACCGAACATAGAAAGAAGGCAACATAGAAAATGCTCGTGAGCTTAAACTAGGCTCTTCGTACGATAATATTTGACACCGGGCGTAAGATGTTCTACAGTAAATTGTCGGTTCATTGTGCCTACTAAATGCTTTCAAGCACTGCACGTAGAACATCCAGTGCCTGATGCACGGCTTCAGCATGTGGAGACTCCAGCCTACCGACGAACACTCTAAGTGTGTTTAACAGTGATTAAAGAACTACCAGGATTTATTTGTATTCTTCTGGAAACTTCTCAGTCGCAGAATCAGGATTTGCTCATCCCGAAGTGCACTGTGACTCGGCATGTCACTGCGAGCTTGGCATTGGAGGCCAAGCTGCGTCAGTTGCGTCCATGCTGTTCTTATTTGTACCGACAATCGTGGATCTGCATGGCTAGGACTTAGGAAATGTATAGAGTGAATATGTAAGCCAAGTGCAATCCACAGAAACAACGTCTCTCATTGCATTTTGTTGGATACGAGCCGAGTACACTCTGGATAGAAGAGGGGGTAGTGAGACAGGGCGTCGAATGGGCGCTGCGCATGGAGAAGTATTGGTTTTTTTCTATCATGTTTGGACGCGTCATTTACCTTCGTCGTCTATTCACGTCACGTGATACCATATTTGGCATATGTGGAGCTAGCGGAAGACCTCGAGCATGCTATGAGCGTAGCTTGTAGTCAAGTTTTACATGACATGCATGTCATGATTATTATGTTTGCACGTGTCATTGACCATCGTAAATATACGTCACGTGATACCAAATTTTGTATACGCCAAGATAGTGAAATGGCCACGAGTTCGCAATGAGCGTAGCATGTAGTCATGTTTTGCATGACACGCACATCATGAATATCATATTTAGACGTGTCATTTATGTTAATCTATTCACGTAATGTGATACCATATTTGGCCTACGTGGATCTTGCGAAACAGCCGCGAGTACGCTATGAGCGTGGCATAAGTCTTGTTGTATAGCACATGTATATCATGATTATCATGCTTGGACGTGTCATTTATCTTTGTCGACTATTTACTGTATCGGACTGCACGCCGGGGACCGAAGCCCAGGGGATGGAAGCCGTTAAACCAGATAGACATCCACCTCCGTACAAATCAAGGGAATGCCATCCAGAGGGTCGACTCTATCAAAGTCCTGGGCATGGTGATAGAGTCTAGCGGCGCCAACAGCAAATCAATAGTCAAGTGAACTTGGAAAACAGACAGTGCGGTGCACCTCATACGCAGAGTGGCCAACAAAAAAAATGGGATCAAGGAAGACAACCTCATCAGGTTGATGCATGCGTTTGTTCTAAGCCATTTCACGTACGAGGCAGCAATGCACAACTGGTCAAGAGCAGAGTCCGAGACACTGAATGTGCTCCTCAGGAAAGTTATCAAGAAGGTCTTGGGCCTACCCATACATACCAGCACCGAGCGTCTGCTTGAGCTTGGCATTCACAACATGCTCGAAGAAATAGCAGAAGCCCAAGAGTGAGCAGAGTTTTCAAGGTTTTCTACAACAAGGTCGGGGAGAATGATCATGCAGGAGCTGGGCCAACACCCAATGGCAATCAGACGCAATTACAATGATATCCCCGACAACATCAGGGAGAATATTACGGTGTCTCCTATACCAAGAAACATGCATCCAGAACACAACGTCCGAAGAAGAGTAGCGAGGGCCAAGACTATACTTCGTCAAGTCTCAAACGAGGAACGAGGGGTCGTATTTGTTGACGCGGCTTCCTACGCCAATGGGAAAGCGTTTGTGGCAGTGGTGGTCGATAGGGCTGGCCATGTCGTCAACTCAGCGACGGTCAGGATGAAAGACCCAATCATTGCGGAACAGGTGGCCATCGCCTTAGCACTCAAGATGGATAACAATGAAGTCATCTACAGTGATTCTATGGCAGCACTACCGGCGTTCGCCAAGGAAACGGTCTCTGAACAAACGCTGAGAATACTGCAAGGCAAGAACATAACGCATCATCTTCTGAGTTGGTTCCCAGCTCACCTTGGGCAAATCAACGATTCCCCTCCCAATCTCAATGAAGCAGCACACGAGGTGGCGCGAGAACTCTCCTACCGCGCCTCCCCGGGGATGCGTTCTACCGGTGAAGGGGATAACCGGGAAATTCTTACAACATATAACGAGCTCACTAAACATTTCTACCTGTCTAGAAGGATTTTCCCTCCACCTCACAAAAAATCTAACCCGGCCCCAAGCACTTACATTAGGGCTTTTGCAAACGCGGATGTACCCTACTATGAAAATGTTACACATCATGTACCCTGACCTATACCCAAGTAATCTTTGTCCACATTGTGGGTAAATAGCTTCATTAAAACACATGCTCTGGCAGTGCACCAAATTCGCTCATATATCGAACATCACCTCTGCCAGATGGGAGGAGGAAATCCGCAGCTCGTCCTTGGCAGATCAGCTCTGGGCTGTGCACCAAGCCCGCGAGGTGACTGAGGAGCTTGGCATCTCAGTCCCCGCGTGGGAGCTGCCCGAAACACATTCATCTGTGTTTTGGAGGACCAAAGAAAAGTTTATCCAATCCCCAATCCTGTCATACCATACCAGTTTCGCAACGGGACATGGGAACGAAACCACCGCAATAGCACCAGACCATGAAATCTAAATGATGACATTCATGAACTACATCTAAAGATTCTCATAGTAGGACTAGTATTTTATGTTAGTCATACAGTCATGTTATGCCATACCAATTTTGGTATTGATACCATTATCAAAACAGCCTGGAGAGCTAAAAGTGGTAGTCCAATAGATAGATAGATAGATAGATAGATAGATAGATAGATAGATAGATAGATAGATAGATAGATAGATAGATAGATAGATAGATAGATACGCAAAAAGCTGTCGAACTTCGCTAAAAAGTGCTCTGCATTTAAAAAGCTTTCTACGAAGCTCTAATGATTCACTTCACTAATAACCTGTGATCAAAAGCTAATTTGTTGTATGATGAGCAATTCAACGAACTTAATTTTGGCTAAACTGAGCACTTAAGGTACTCAGAACGTTTTTCGAATAAATATTTACAGGTTCACCATTCCAACGTTCTTTATGATCATGTGTATCTACCTGCTGCCACTGATCGCATCAGGACCCTACTCAAAAGAATTCTACGACAGGTTCGACGCTGAAGTACGACAACAGTGGTGGCACTTGATCGGACAATTCTACAACTGGAGAATGGAAAACTACGAAGTGGTAAGAATCAACTCTCTTAATGGTGTGTTGTGAGTTTTGTACCCTCAATAGTTGATAGGCATCGCAGTAAACCCTTGTAGCAGAGAAAGAGCCACCCACAATGATGACACTGAACAAAATAATCGTGCACACGTTCCTATTTTACTGAAATTAAAGCTCTTAGGGGATCACAACAACAGTCGATTTTCGTGCCCAGGTATTCCATTGCTACTTCTGCCACCACCAGTGACCATTACCGCAATTGTACGAAATGAAGTAAAAACACCTAGGATCTGACGGCTAATAAACCACGAGCCTCTACGAGACAGTCGAGTATTCTACGACCAAGCTACGCCTGTGCATGCATCTCCTTCGCGAAAAGACACTTTACAGAAAAGAGTCGTGTTAACATGTGTTATATAGCATACCAAGAGACCAAAATAACAGCCAAACATCACACAATGTGAACTGTGCAATGATTCGTAAGTTGCATAGTCCTAAGCCATTACAACAGGCTCCCCTTCAATTATTCATTATCATTATGCGCTGCGCAATGTTCACATAATGGCTTAAAGATTTCTAGCAAACTCTCCTTCTCCACCGGTTCAAGAATAATCGCATATTCAATGTTTCCTTCAAAGACAAACATTATGAAAATTTATAGAATAATGCCTACGTTTCGTGCATACTCAACTTAGTTAACCTTGAGAATTTACAATGGGCTTTAGAAAAGCCGCTCTCCCAGTCTTCGCTTTGACGGCTGCCACAGTGAAAGCTACGTAAGAAATACACGCAGCACATGTGCTGGCTTTTCTACGTAGACTTGGCGATATTTATTCACACACTTTTTTATTTTGCAAGTAGCCTCATACACTTGTAAGCGTTCATTTCTATGAATCAATGCTAAAGAATGCCCAAACTTGCATGGGTGTCTTGACCTTGCTTCACCTTGCTTCTGGAAAAAAAATTTGAGGGGACTTCATGCAGAATCAGCGTTTCTTTATAACGTCTCATTTATTGCCACTCATCTGATTTCCTGCAGCATGTACCAGTACTCGCCTGTTCACTTGGCACTATTCGAGTCACTGTCTCTGTATGAAGAGCCATATATAAAAATAAGTTTTCGCATTTTTAATGCATATACAGGTTATGAGGCACTCCTTCTACTCTGTATTTTTGGTATATTCAAAGAATGTAGGCAACACAACCAATTTGCAACATGGGACAATTAGGAATAATAACAAATATATTATTTGATCAAGACTCGGGCTTGTGGAGGTCACAATATTAAATAGATAAAATAGGTAAAATAGGTTTATTTTACTCAGCTCTAGAGCACATATACAATTACGAGAGCGATAACACTCGGGAAACGACGTAGATGTGCATACAGAGTGGCGTTTTGCGGATAATAAACATTTTTACGTCGTCATGACAAGGATGAAGGCAAAAGTCTGTATGCCCAACATGAACTGATTACAACTGTTTATTTTGCTGAACTTGTGACCCATAAGCAAAAAGTCAGATTACAGTAATACACACTATCATCTATAGCACTGAACAGAGCGTTGGGCTTCCATCAACTGATAATTGTTGGAAAGCGCCGTTTTTGTACAACACGCGTTGAAATTCTCAGCCTTATAAACAGTGGTCGCGGGATTAGTGGAACACGTTTCATAGTTCGTTTCTCGCGCGAATTGTTAGCGAGACGATCTATTGTCATCGTTGAGCTTATCCAACGCTGAAATACGATCTGTGCTGAGCATTACTGACAGTCCGTGTGGGCGTAAACGAAATAAAGGAAAACTGAAAACAACAAACGCACGTCACAATATCACGTTTACGTGGTAATGATTCAACGTCGTGCTATGGTAAACAAAGGTAATGTCACAAGCAGTTTAATTTTTCGATGAAAATAAATGGCCTAGTGATACCATTGTCACTGACAAGTCGGGCCAGTGAGGGTTCACGCATTATTCCGACCACCCAACATCATATTCTGAAGGCCAGAACTCCGAATTGTCGTGTATGCTTGAGGCGGTCTATGACGCAGTGCATAGCGAGGCGCGTGTGAATTTGGGGGAAACACTTTGACTCTTTAACATTTTTAACCATATAACACTTTTTGAAACCATTCAGCTTTTTGGGATTTCTTCTGAGGTGTAATTACATGTACCTTAAAAGTACTAAAAAAACTATTTTCCAGAAAGAAACCCTGAAGAGAAGGGAAGCAGCATCGGTGGTGGTGGTGGAAACATATTTATTTATTTAATTACATGAAATTTTCTGCGGAGAAGCTCCGAGTAGTCGGACATGCTTGGCTTGCGGTGGGGGGGCCCTTAGTCCAGGGCTCCGCTTGCAGCAGCCGCTCTGCGGGCCCGGTTGATCAGACTCAATTGATCTTCCAGGTTTTCGCTGGCCAGCAGCTCCTCCCATCGCTCCGCTGTTGGATTTTGTACTGGTTGTAAGGCTGTAATGGCCTGACACTCCCACGTGACGTGGTACAGAGTGGCTTTAGCTGAACACCATGGGCAGAGAGGAGAGTATGCCGAGGGGTGCATTTTACTCAGGATGTGCAAATTTGGAAACGTGCCGGTTGGAATTTGCCTCCAGCAGCATCGGTGCACACGGCGTTGACCCGGTTGAAACAGGTGTTGGCGCGGGTGCCGGAAGAATGGTTTAAAGCGAAAGTTGTTGTAGCGTTAACTCTAGTAAACGCCTGTTTGAAATGAAAAGACAGGGGAAAAGGGACACGTTGATTACACTTGCAGTCGACTTCCTTAGCTCCCGTCGCGTCGGTGTTACTCACGCGCCGTCTGTATTCTCGATCGCGATTGGTGTTTTTGGCCCACACCTCGTCGGTGTCGCAGGTCTTCCACTGCCAATGCTAGCATTCGGCTTCCCTGGCTTGTGCCTCGTCGGTGATGACGTCGGCGTTCGCGAACTCAATCGGCTTCCCTAACCCTCGAAACACAGGCGACAGCCGGGAAAGGCACGCGCACACTAACGGGAAGCATGTTGTTGTCAGATAGGAAGGAGACGTGGCGCCCGCAGGTGCTTTGTCACAGAGTCTCACGTAACTTCAAGCGGCGGCGACTGCAACTGTGAACGAGCACGTTTCTAAGCTTGTCTGTTCCCTGTACAGATATCGCAAGCGCTGATCCAGTGTGACTTCACCTCGAAGTGGTCTATAGTGCATTCCCCAGCGGACTCGAACCTGATCACAGTGTTCTGTGTGTTGAACGGGAATGTAGTCTTCTTCCGCCCCTACAAAAAAGGTATCTCATCTGGAGCATTGACAGCAGGGTCAGGCACGTTTCTAAGCTTCTCTGTTTTCTGCACCGATATCGCAAGCGCTGATCCAGTGCCCATTCACCTCGAGGTGGTCTACAGCGCATTCTCTAGTGAACTACGAACGAGCACCTTTCAAAGCTTTCCTGTTCCCTGAACAGGTGGGAGTAATTTTTTCTTTGTTAAGTTGTGGTATAATGCCACTTCCGCCACTACGAAAGTGTTGATCTTTTATTTATCATGCCCTCGAAAGTTGAGCTCGCGAAACGTCTTGACGCGCTGGAAAAACGTTTTGCAGGGGAAACTGTCTAGCCTTGTAGAACAAGTCCTTTAAAGCGTTAAACTGAAGGTGTCCACAGAACCTCAAAGGTTCACTAAAGCCATTAAAAATGACATGAATGAATTCCAGGTGACCTCGCGTACAATATAGAAACTGTTCAGAGTGTGAACTCCGAAAATGAGAAACTGAAAAGTACAAAATTTTCTCTAGCAAATGAAAATGCTGCTCTAGAAAATGGAGTTAATGAGCTTGAGTAATACTCTCGCAAGAACAACGTTGAACTGAAGGGCGCGCCCTCTACTCAAGGTGGAGATTGTGTCGCAAATTTTGAAGCTGTTGGGAATGAAACTATTGCCCTATGTTGCAGGACAACATAGATATTGGTCATAGAGTTCCCTCTGTTTCTGATGCGAAGAACCTGATTGCAAGATTCACTTCGAGGGTTAAGAAAGCAGAGTTTATAAGAAAGGCACGAAAGGCGCGCCCTCAGACTCATGACATCGCTTTCTGTGGAGCACAATCTAGGCCTATGTATGTCAACGACCATCTGACGCAGGAAAACAACAAAATGTTTGCGAAGACTCTGTCTCTGAAAAAAGAAAAAAAAACGTTGGCAGTTCTTGTGGACAGATGACTGCCTATTGAAGCAAAGGAAGAACGCAGATAGCAGGGTTTTTCGCATCAGAGACGAGGGTGATCTGAAAATCTTCACTAAGCATGCGTAAAAGCATTTTGGTTTTGGCTTTTCTACTATTAGTTACATTGATTCAAAAGAACTAGCACCTTTGTTGTCAATTTCATGTTGTACAGTTATCTATATTTATGAGAGAAGCTTAAAAAGACACTACGGTGGATTCAACCTGTTCTTATCATAGTTTCCTAACCCATTTTCACTGGTGCGTGTTAATGAAACATGGCTAAGCGATAAAGATAAAAACTTCTTTTCTTTTCCTTCGTACGCTCCGGAGTACTATCATCGCGTATCATCTAGCCATGGTGGCACTGCTATCTTCATTTCTCGAGATATTGGGTGTATACGCAGATTTGACTTAAACCCTGACATGCCGGACTGTGAAACAGTGTGCAATAAAATAAATAAGTCATAGTTTGATACCGGTTAAAAAAGCAATATTTTTTGCTGCATCCACCGGTCACCAGGTTCAAGCGTGACCACATTTTGCCATTCCTGACAATCTACTGCATGCTGTTTCAAATGAAAACAAGAATAACGTCTTTGTTTGAGATATTATTTATCAATACTCAAGATGAATGTAGTTGTTACAGCAGAAAGTACGTTAACATAAGCCATGGGTACGGCGTCGAGTTATTTCATCTACCCACTAGAAATGCTACTAATTCAAGCGGTCTCATTTATCATGCGCTAACAAACCTTCTTCATAGCCCCGAGGATTTTTTTTTGTCAGAAGCAATATAACAGACAATTTTCCAA